TAAATAAATTCCAAAGATACAAAGAAGATACAAAGAACCGCAAAAAATTGAATTAGAATTATCTTGGGATTGATCCTGGGATGCTTTGTATAGATTTTAATAATCCTCTGATCCAAAATGATTTCTCAGGTAGACGAATGAAAGCAGCAGATTTACGTATAATTGAATTTTAATTTGCCCAGAGAGGGAACTATTCTTGCAGAAATAGCCGCGGATATTCAGTCGCTAAACGATAATTGAATCGGATTTCCGAATCCCACGATTAAGTCGCTTCCCTCGTCAATTTAACGCTTTCTTCGTCCCTCGTATTTTTCGAAGGAGGTAGGAATATTTTATCCGAAAGACACCCCGCGCATATTACAGCCAGCGGAGCAATGCCAATGGCATGAATAGCTGATGAATCGGTCCGAATGAATTTTATCATCCCAATGCGATCCAACCGCATCCGTCCGTACCATTTGTTCAGCCTTCGTGCAAGACGAATGATTATATATTTTAACACAGAGCTTATACGTACCGCAATTGAAGCAGTCCGCACAGTCGTGGTTTACCGCATACAACCCTCCCGGAATTGCAGACCGATGAATTGGCTTCCGGACTACGAATGATGCCACAGCCGCGGATCGCGCTCCAATTTGCATGGAGCAATATTATTTTATCCTCGAATCCAAGGACCAGCTTGCGTAAGCTCGTGCGCGCGCGCGGATATCAATATGTGGGATGAAGTTGCAGTCTCCACTGTTATCATGCAAGCGGAAATTCAAACCTTTCGAGGCATCCTCGAGATATTAACGTTGAATTTTATTTCTATAAATATAAAACTGTTAAAAAAAGATATTATAAAATATAGTACACCATTACTCAAACTGATTGAAAAACTTGTTATATATCAATTTCTATTTGTAGCTTTTAAGGTTTATTTATAATATTCGAATAACAAAATATTTTGAATTGACATATATTTTTCTGAAATGTTTCATTTTGAATATCTTCACATATTGATATTTTCGTAATAAATTCGTACGTTCGCGAGATTCACAAGTTTCGAATGTCCGTTAAGGTTATATGCATATTTAATGAATATTGTACAAAACGTTTATGCACATATTATACGTTATTGCATTCTGAAATTATAGCAATGTAATGTTTTCCGAGTTACAACATTTTAAGCACACAATTTTAACATAAAGATGACGTATATATATATATATATGTATGTATGTATAATAGACTATTTAATACATTCATTATCGGCAATTCGTAAGGAAAAGAACAATGAAGATAAACGATATTTGTGAATTAAATTATCCAATATTTTTTTAATTCTAATAGATTTCTGAAAAAAAAAACAGTTAATAGACATTCCTACAATGGCTGTTCTTAATTAATGAATATCCGATGGTGCTAATGTAATTAACGACGTTCGATTAAACTGCGAATGAAAACCACCGAAATAGTCCCAACGACCATTCCCGTTTTTCTTGAATTAACTATGCAACTGTGCTTTCTCCACAGATGGTGCAGCGAAGTAACAAAAATACAGTCGTGTTATCATAGAGATTAATCCATTATTTATGATTTATACAACTTTATTTTCTTCGAGCCTACGATATTTTGCTTCTTCTTACAGTAAATTATCAAATAATTGCTACAATTTATAATTTTTACGTGGGTCACTGAAAATTTGACTTAATCCTTCTAGGCCTGACTTTTGAGAAATGGAACATATAATGTCTAATTAATTTTAAAAATTTGAGGAATCACTGAATATAAAAATGAGATCGAAATATAAAAATTGACAGCTCAAAAGCTTGAAAATTACAACGTTTATTACGTTTGTACATTAATAATGTATAATAATAATGTATAAATAATTTTCTTTAAAACAAATACTAGTTAAACTAAATGACTTAACATTTACAAAGACATTATTTTTTAAAGATACTGGTATGTACATGTACTACTAGATCTGAAAGAGTTAAAAGTACATTTTAAACAAATCTACATTGAAAAAAGTCTGATAATAATAATTAAGTCCAGCTACTAAAGTTTAGTGAAATAATTTCAATTAAATGTTAGATTAATAGAACCAAAGCCTATTAAATGTTAATTTTATTCTTCTAAATATTACCAAACGGTTGATTACTATTATTATATTTGGCAATATTTACTTAAATATCGCACCAATATGCTAAACAAAATACATTAATAATTATTACTTTCTTTTTAATGTAAAATGTATTTTTTATATATACAGTTGGTTCTTCTCGTGTAAGAATATATACATCATAAAAGGTAATTTACGTGCGAGTTTATCATGTTTCTTGGCCATTTCGTTCTTGTTATAGTGTACCTGAAATATGTTTTTTCCAAGTACGATTTGCATATAAAGTAGATGTGTAAGGGAACAGAAATAGAGACTTGTCGTTGCTATCATCTGGGTCACAGGTGACGAGTTTGGCCGCGTTTCAGGTAAACGAGACTCGTCCTTGGACAAAGTGCTCGTAGTACTCCTTCCAGAATCCTTCACATCCATGAACAAAGCATTTCCATGATCTGATGCAAATATTTGCGTGGCAATATATGTTATCTTTTATACGTATAAATGAAATCATGTGATCAGTACAAAAAGATACACATTCATATATTTAATTAAAATAAGAAAAGCTATATTGATATTAAAATAATTATTCTTTTATTACGCACTATCTCATCGAAATTTCTACGAAAATAAGTCTTCACAGAAGTGAAACTAACTGGTAGACGATTATATAAACATGCAATTAACGTATCAAAGCAATACAATTCTCTAATCTAACCTGAGTTTGCAACACAAACAATTCGTCTGAGACAATTTTGAGGTTGTAACAGATTAGGCTTTAAGCTTGATCGACCGAACAACTACAGCTTAGAATTCGAATACTATTATTAAACCACCAAATCCAGTCACGATTGCTCGTAAAGTCTCTATTCAACTAATCCGCCAAAGAGTACGCAGCATCGATAGCTGCTACTGAAGTTTTAGTAAATAAGGAAGTATATTTGGATTTCGACTGTTTGCAATGTCTAGTAAGATTTTGGCGAATAAATCCGATTTACAAGATAAGCAAAGTTCAAAATTTACACATTCTGTCGTATTAATATGTAGCAATGTGCGGTTATATATTTTATGCATATTTTTAAGAGATTTGATAGGAAATTCGATTTACAAATTAAGCAAAATTCACAATTCAAATATTCTATTGTATAATATTGCAGCAAAGTGCGGCTATATATTTTACATATATTTTTACTTATAAAATAAATATAATTATTATTTTACTATGTTTTAAAAAAAAGAAAACAAATTTTTTAATTAAAAATTATTTAATTATATTGTATTTGTATAATAAAAAAAATTTATTAATTTATCACTAAAAGATGATTAGTCTTGAGATCAGTTTCTAACATTGTCCGCTATTTTTTACGAAAATTTATTATAAGCTCGTCGTGCAGTCGACGTAAACATCATAAGTTTTGTAGAACTTTCTTTTTTTGAACTATTTGTATATGTCAGATGCGTATATTTCCCAATATACTTTTTCCTAAAAAGTTAAATAAATAGCTTCAAGGTATTAAAATTAAATTTGCAAAATGAAAGGTTTCAAAAAGGACTTAATAAGGATAATATCATCAAAGTAGGTTTTTATTAGCTGTAGAGATTTAAGTGTCAAAGCATCAGTGAAATTCGAGGAACATTTATAGCTTCAATGTTGCGTTAAAATAAATCTATATAGAGATTTAGAAAAGAAGTTAATATTATCAAGTATAATATCATCAAAGTAGATTTTTCATAGTTTACAAAGCATAGTATTTTAGTAAGTGCGAATTATTCTTAAGAATGTCAAAGTAGTATTAAAATTTCGATTCGGGAAAGTTGTTAGATTATAAAATATTATATATTTTCTTAACATAATATATATACATAATATATGTACAAAAGATTATTTATGAAAATTTTTTTATAAATGTTTCACATTAAAATAAATAATTCTATTTGAATATATCAGTAAATTATTTGTTATGAAAATATTCATCAATAAGAACAAAATATATTCTGTAGCAAATACGATGTAAGTGCATTTATTAATCTATACGTTGTAAAATAGAACATGATCATTTATAATATGTTTATCGCGTTAGCGTACGCGATAGCATTCCCGCCATTAAATTCAGAATTTGCATTTGAATTTTAATATGAAAGCCGATAATTTAAATGTAAATTATAACGCATATTTTACACTTCTTCAGTTCGATCGAAACGTGCATATCACTACATATACGCATTGTATTTTCCATACGAAACATACTACTCTAATCATATTAAGACACTTTGTTTCATATCACTCTACTGAGTAATTAATAAAATTAATCGGACATTTTTAAAAAATCATACTTATTAAATTATTTTCCCAAAACAATTTTCTACATATATTGCATATATTCAATCTAATAGATTAATTGTTTAATTTCTCTTGCCATATAAATATATCCGTGCACGTAATGTTTATATAATAATATTTAAAATTTAAAAAACGTTTGCTCTCTCTGTGTGTGTGTGTGTGTGTGTGTGTGTGTGTGTGTGTGTTCATCGATAATTAAATATTTATACATAGTTTAGACTACGTTCTGCAGAAAGGACAATCAGCAATCAAAATTTGATTGTATATTTCCTTTTTATACAATCGTATTTGTAAAATAACACCGCAAAGGTAAACATACGACTAACGAATACATAACTCTCTCGAATAAAACATATTTGCATACGACTGAAACTGAGCATACTTATTAGTTATGATAATATAGTCGCTATGTATAATAAGAACTTATTATGTTACATAGTTTTATGATAAACAAGAAAAAGGAAAACTTTTCTTAGTAAAAGCGAGTCAATCGTCTTGTAATATGTAAGAAAGACGTTAAGAGTTTAATTTGCAATTTTGCTTTGCTTTTTGTTTTAGGCACTTCTACAAGCTCACGATGTTGCCGGTCACGAGGTCTACGGCGAGGAAGCCACCAGGGTAACGCCACCGCCACTTCTCACGTATCTGAATGGCGGTGACGATCTCGAAGGACAAAACGGCGATTTAGATGAAAAAATTACTCGCGTCAGACTAGTGCAGTTCCAGAAGAATACGGATGAGCCAATGGTGAGTAACAAGGCAAATATATATATGTGTTTCGGCAATGTGAAATAAAGGAAGGTTTTTGAAATGTAGTTACAAAAACCTTCCTATGATATGATTTTTGTTTAAAATGAGAGAGGAAAAAGTATATATATTTTAAATAAATTCTTAAAAAATATGCGTGAAAAATTACTTTTTAATGAAAGCGTAAAAATATGTATGTAGATATATATAATATATAGATGTGAAAGTTGTTTGGATTATATTGGATTATATTGAGGACATTATATTGAGGAATTGAAAATTTTTGATAAAAAAGTTAATTTAATATTATCTTAATATTTTTTTTAATTTTTAATAAAACATTTAATAAAGATTTGCAGGATTATATTTTGGATAATAATAAATATTAAATTTTTACATGCATTGTAAAATAAACTTTGTTATTATGATAATTTTGATTTTTAATTTATGGCGTTGTTATTTATTATTCACATGGTTTAACACGGCCATGTTTGAAATAAGCAATGTTTAACTTGTTATCGATAAAATATTACATTTACTATTCTTAATTTACTTTACATTATTTGTTTTTCAGGGAATTACATTGAAAATGAATGAGGATGGACAATGCTTCGTAGCGCGGATTATGCACGGTGGGATGATCCATAGACAAGCCACTCTTCACGTCGGTGATGAAATTAGAGAGATCAACGGTATACCAGTTCAGAATCAATCCGTTAATGCCTTGCAAAAGATTCTGGTGAGTATTATAAAGTTATTTTCATAACTGCGAGCGGAATCTGGGAACTTATTTCAAGAAGTTTTAAATCCTACGTTATCAAAGAAATTACTTGATGGGATATACTATAACTTTCTCAAACAAGTATTTATTATAAAGTTTAAAAACTATACTTTGAAGTAAAATATGATTTCGATATTGGATTATAAATTTGTACATTGCATTATTGTATGCAAAATTTTGTGTTTATTATGAATGAGTATCGGCTTGCTTCTACTCGTAACCGTAATTTCTGAAGAGTCCGGTTCTCTTCGACTGTTACAGCGGGAGGCACGTGGGTCGGTGACTTTCAAGATCGTGCCGTCGTACAGGAGCGCGCCGCCCCCCTGCGAGGTACAAGTAAGACCCAACACCCAAACCCTTTCCCAAAACACTATCGCGTCTAGTAAGCCCACATCTTCCACGGCCTCCACGGGCGCGAGCTCTGGAGGCGGTGTGAATAAATCCGGGAAACCGGTGAAAACCTCTGCGGTCACGAGTAAAGAGAAGACGCCTAAGGCGTCAAAAACTTCCAAGTCTAAGAGCGCTTCTTCGTCCACCGAAAGCACGCCTAGACGTCGTTTAAATCCATTATCGGCTCTACGATCGCGAAAGTCTTAAACTCTTCGATCGATCTCGATTTCATGTAGCCCGCTCGATTAAATCGTGTATTCACAGAATTGCCAGAAGCACATCGAACTGCTTCTAGACGTAATGGTAGATCCCGGAGCAAAAATTTATGCCTTCTTCCAACGACACCATTGAATTAATTACTGAGATAGCAAAGTTGCTGACGAACTTAGGCCTTATAGAGTAGGTAGTTCTTATCGCAGTTAGTAATAATTATGGTAGGTAGTTTTTGTAGTCACAGTAATTATGCATGTTAGGCTTTTTCCCCAGTACGCTTTACTATATTGATTACGTAATTTGCTTACTTCTTGGAAGTATGCAAATTTCTATAATATCAGTGCTATTATAGATTTTTTTTCAATGATAAGTATGTGATATATGTATATATTTAAAATAAAATATATATTTAAAGATTTAATTAATAATGAGTATAAACATGATAAACATATTATTCAATTATTTTATTTTTTATTATTCATTAATTTAATTTTAAAGAAAGAAATGATTTACAAATAATTTCTTTAATATTTTATTTTTGTAAACTTTTATTTTTATTCAATGAAACTCCTTTAAATATTCTCTGAATTATGATTATATATATTAACTTTATCTTCTAGAGAGTCACATCAGCACTATATATTCCAGATATTATTATTGATTATAACCCAAAGACATGATTCCACGCATGAAGTGGTCTACCAATCGATTAAATAGTTTGCCTTAATTTCTCTTAAATCAATCTTCTAATTTAATAAGTCATACTTTGATAATAGAGATTTGCAACGATAAACAACTAATTTGTGTTTTATATGTAGATTATTACAAATAATTATTTATGAAGGAAAAGAACAATTAATTCGATTAGATGATTCAAACTTGACATATTATATAATGAAATGACATTTCACATTTTATAAAGAATTGTACGATTATTACTTTAAAGAACTCACGCAACGTACGAAGTCTTTGCCTATTATCCGTTTCGCGATTAGGAAAGTTTTGGATAATGAACAGAGGGATATACGATTAGTTCCTCAATAGTTTGCAGTTCATATATAGTTTCTCGCGTAATTTCATCTAAGGTAGACCACGAAGTTTACAAGAAGTTTGCAGGAAGACAGGCGGTTAATAGTGTCCACTTTGCATTACGTTTAGAATAATCCATTATCAGAAAAATTTTTGTACCGTGTAATTGGCAACGAAAGAAACGAGAATATAAACTTCTACGAAAGCTTTAAAATTATTTTTAAATATATCTCATTAAACTCGAAAATTTTATTGAAATTCCAAATTTATTTGAAATTAGTCAGAATTCACTTAGCGATCTTTATGAAATAACATAATGAAAAATAATCATATATGCATATATATTTCTTTTGATAATTATTTTGACAGCCATTATTGCCTAATTAATATTTATACACATTATATTTATATACATATATGTATACATACATGTGCAATAAGCCTAAAAAATTATGACTTATTAATAGAGATGTATTTTCTGATAAAGTTAATATAGATTTTTGTTTACTCCTTTTTTAAAATTAATAATTAGAATGATCTTGCAGATTAATTAAAAAATTTTATAATAAAAAATTGATTCTAAATGTGTACTTTCTTAGATAATCAATTAGATATTTAATTTTTATATTGTATATTATTATATTCTTGTATAAAACAGGAGTATATGTTTTAATCGACTTGTTATCTTAATTTTTTAGAGCAAACAAGGATGTTCACATCTTAAATTTCTGAAATAACTTTGAACTTGAATATAGTTTCATTGCTAATCTTCATTAATATTGACGAAGGGAATGGAAACTGATATCTGACGGTTTATGTGCGCCAGCTTAAATGCAATATTCTCGAATAGTTGAATATATTCAAATTCTACTATAGTTCAGTGTCCGGTCATATTTGAAGTTTCAGTAATTAGTGCGCAGGTTTCATCCGAGGGAGCAAGTTCTTAGAGAACGTAGAATTCTCGAGGCAAATGACAAGAACTTTCCTTTCTATGATTTATGAGTGTTTTGGACTAATTACAAATACCAGTCCGTGTACAATTTATGAATTTTTATCTCTCTTTCTTTTCGAGTCATAGCGTGCTGGGCGGTTTAGTTTATTTAACATCACCTATGTCAATAAATTGATGGATCTGTCGACGCGGTTTTTTATTTTTATTTTGCAAAACAAACGAGTGAAATTGGATAAAAATTTATAAATTGAATTCGTTTACAGTAAAACCACTGTGAACAGCATTTTTCCGGAAATCGTTTATCGACTGATAGTTTCTAGAATTTAAAAACGAGCAATGTCCAATGCCTGATATATGTTTTGCTACACTTTAATTTTATGAAAAATATTTCAACTGTTTCAATATTGTTTTCTTTATAAAATTCTATTTGTTTTTATTTATTTACATCGCTATATATTAGAAGAAGTAAAGAAAATATTAATATTAAAATGTGTTTATTTAAATCAACTGAGAGATA